GCCTTCAATTGAAAGCCCGAGTTGAAGACCCGAGTTTGTAGCAAAGATGTCAGACAAGATTGAACAACAGTGTTAATTCATTCATTTACCCCCGCTTCCGATTGATCATTAAAACTCGATCGTCAGAAATTGATATGTGATATGAAATCTTCACCCTCATTTCATTGAATTTTGACTTCTATGTAGGATTATCTTCTTTGAATTACTCCTTCAATTGTTGCATCCATGACGAAAGCATCAAAATGATGTGAAAATGGGTGCGTACGCGACACGGAAGAGGTTCGAGCGGACTGCGCGCGCCGCATATCCTCCCGCGTTCACCTGGTGGACCATATTTCGGCAACGGATTGATGGATTTTGATTTAAAAAATTGATCATTATTTATTACACAAAAAGGAACAACTTTTGTCCTGAACATTTTCTTCTATTTGCCAATGTTTCCCATAAAAAAAAAATCATCAAAAAAACCACTTAATTTGTTTATAACTATTAATTGCCCGTACTTACATGAAAAATACCACCGGATTCGGATTTCTCATACCCGAAAACATAAGAAAACACCTCAAAACCTTACCGCACTAGAAGTGCACACGGGAAGGGGGTATTGCGTGTGGACTACTTGCTCTGGACAAAGAATTTTGCAGTTTCATTTTCTTTTCATTTTCTTCATTTTTTCTTCATTTTCATTTTCTTTTCAAATAATACATTGACAAAATCTTCGCCCAACAAAACTTCTCAATAATTTTTCCAATTCCAAATGGAAAATTATTATTCTCATCAGTAATATCCCATCAGTAATGTCCCAAGAATTAAAACAAGTCGATAAAAAAAATATTTACTGAAAAAATTTTGTTTTGCCTGGATTGGGTCAAACAGTAGTTTTTTTTTGACTATTTAATTTTGCCCCACTCTCCCCTAAATCATCGAAAAATTCTAACGCTCACTGTTCAAAAATTTATTATCGTAATTTCATAATTCTTAGGCCATTGTATTACTAATTTTTGATTCTATATTTCCTCACAATTTGTAAACAAGGTGCTGACGTCACCCTGTAGTTGAAAAATATTTTCTCGAGTTTATCTTTATGTCTTGAAATTAATAAGATTTTGTTGTACGCTACAATAATCTAAAGTTCAGATTCTAAACCATTCATTCTGTATTCCAGTGCGAAAATAAAGAATATCGAAGCTACTGAAGAGGCCAAGCAAAAATTACTGTGGGAGAGGCACAGAAAAAATGATGGACCATCACAATTTGTTCCAACCAACATGGCTGTCAATTTCGTGCAGCATAATCGATGTAAGTTCATGATTTTGAGTAATGGGATATTGGAAATCAGTATACAATACTAATTAATTGTCAAATCGCGGCGTTTCGATTTTTATTAAATTTTCCTCAGGCTCTTGATACCACTAGCATCTGGTCCTATTACTAATAAAAATTTTCCCGTAGGAAGACAAATCCATAAAATACATAAATGTCAATTCTTATACACAATATGCCTGCCGGCAGCCCACCGCAACACGTCACACAACAAGGTTTTGAGGAAGATTTAGTCAAAATCGAAATGTCGCGATATGACAATTAATTAGTGTTGTATGTTGATTTCCAATATCCCATGACTCAAAATCGTTATTAATAATCATGGAGATAAACCGACCGTAATGGTTAATCCAGTATACTCCTAACTTGAACACAGAAATTGAAAATAAAATATGGAGATACAACAAAGCAATTGCCAATTTGAAAGAGTACAACAAACACAGAGAAAAAAAATACTGGTGGTTACAAAACCAATAAAGATATTGGAAGGAAATAATTCATCCCTATAATAATAATTTATCCCTATAAATAATGTATACATGTAAATAAATCGACTGTTTAGCTATTAAGTTTAGGATAGGGTGCCCACAAGCACAAAATAAATTTAAAGTGGGTTTTGAAGCCTTTCCACTCAAGAAACATGAATAGCAACCATATTGATTATGGTATAAACTAATAAATAGCAATAATAGCACCACCAGTCATGCCGACAGAGATCATAGCAAAGCACGTCGTTGAACAACTTTTTGATTTAAGGCCCGGGTGTACTATCTTTCGAATGTTATCTGGATTTTTTTTATCTTTCGTAATCCAAAATTGTCAATTGAGTGGTACATCATGTAGAAATTCCCAAAAATTATGATAGAATGATAAGAAAAAATGGAAAAAATTCTGAAATTTTTCAAAGAGCGTTTTTAATTGAGATTCAGAATGAGTTGAAAATGTGGAAATTACAAATATCTGATTCGCCGTAGTAAATTATCTATTAGCTTTCATTTTCCATGGTGGATAACAAAACACTAACTCCTCATGGGAAGTGACAGGTAGGTATCTCAATTTTCAAAATAGTGGTATGTGGTCATCTGCTATTTTTATGTGATAAAAGTGTCATTAAAAAATTCTCCAAAATATTACAACTTTTTTCAAAGAACCTTTTTTGTCATAAATGTCTCTGTGCAGTCTGGGAAAAGATTTACAAAATCAGTCTTCCCCCTGCACGATATTGGGTANCTCAATTTTCAAAATAGTGGTATGTGGTCATCTGCTATTTTTATGTGATAAAAGTGTCATTAAAAAATTCTCCAAAATATTACAACTTTTTTCAAAGAACCTTTTTTGTCATAAATGTCTCTGTGCAGTCTGGGAAAAGATTTACAAAATCAGTCTTCCCCCTGCATGATATTGGGTAACAGGCCGCCATTTGTCACCGTAAATGAGATACATTTTTCAATTTCTTGTTATTCAACTTATTCTGAATATAAATTAAAAATGCTCTTTGAAAAAATTAAGAATTTTTTCTACTTTTTTTTTATTATTCATTCATCATTTTTCAAAAATTCTGCATGATGCAGGAATATTGACAATTTCAGATGACGAAAGAGGAAAAAAACATCGAGATAACGTTCGAAAGATAGTACACCCGGGCCTTAAATTCACTCTAGATAATCTTTCGTTTATTGGAGAAATGTTAAACCCACCAGTGTTCTTGTATTTGGCTACTATGACAATAAACACCTTTAAAAAATAAAAAATAAATAAAACCGTAATGGTTGAGTGAGTTAGGTGTTGCTCCGGCGGACATCCGAGTGCAGCTGCGTTTAGCGCGGTTAGTACTTGGATGGGGGTGACCGCTTAGGAACACTCTCGCTCAAAAATTTCGGAAGGTAGATACGGTGTAGTGGCCTAATGTGCCCCTCTAGTCAGTGTGACAGAAGGGTACATTAGGGATCTGCACAATCGGCCGACTGTATNCGGACATCCGAGTGCAGCTGCGTTTAGCGCGGTTAGTACTTGGATGGGGGTGACCGCTTAGGAACACTCTCGCTCAAAAATTTCGGAAGGTAGATACGGTGTAGTGGCCTAATGTGCCCCTCTAGTCAGTGTGACAGAAGGGTACATTAGGGATCTGCACAATCGGCCGACTGTATGACTGGGGTTTTCCATGGTTTCCCGTGCAGTCCTAGCCCGAATGGGGTACAGCTAAGAGTAAGACGGCCAGAAGAAAGAAATGGGAGAGGTAAGGCAGGCGAATGGGGGGGGGGCTATAAAAACCATAATGGTAGCAGGAAAGAAAAATATGATTATCATGGAGATAAACAATAAAATAAACATTAATAACATGGCACCGAATGTTAAATGAAATATGACAATTTGAGATTGAAAATGTGGAACATCATGTGGTGAATCTGATATTATTATTAATTTTTCCATTTTTCAGTTAATATTGACGACGCAAAAGTGAAGAACGATACAGTACGAGCTGAGAAAGTTGATCCGAAGGAAGATCCCAAAGGCAAGAGAAAGGATAGCAGTGAAAAGGCCACCGACGATTATCACTACGAGCGATTCAAGAAACAATTCCGAAGATTCTAGTTTATCCTCTAACGTGTAAAAAAATTATGTGCTTCTCAGTAACCACTCTTTGTATAAATATACTTTCTACATTCAGTGTTGTAAGATTGTAAATAGGAAATTAAATATTTTTTTTTATTCTTGAGGGAATTAATTTCATGCTTCGCTGACAGGAAATGTCAAAAATTAAAGAAATTTCATATAAGAATCCAAACTTGAAGTCGAAATTCCATCAGTTTATTTGCTTTTACAGTTCACTCAAAGGATACTGCAGTAAAAAGACGAAAGTCCATTATTCTTAATTACTTAAATGGTTTTTGACAATTTTTAAGGAATTAAAAAGCTGGTTTAAAAAAATTGAAATAGTATGGATATAGAAATTTGAAATAATGATAATAATCATCATTCGTTTCCATCGTTGGATCGTTGGTTTGGATCGTTTTTCCATTATCATGAGTGATTTTCCCCAACCTCTGTGATAATTCCTATTTTTTGAGGGCCAAAATCGCAATTTTTCATCAATATTTTTTTGCAAAATCCTTATCAATTTTTCTTGGAGTATTGCATGGACATGTACGAAATTTTTTCACATCAAAAATAAGTCTCCGGTAGTATAGTTGGTCAGTATCCCCGCCTGTCACGCGGGAGACCAGGGTTCGAATCCCTGCCGGAGAGGTTTTTTTCTCTTTTAAATGATGAAAAACGAATACATTTTCATACCAAGTGAAAAAGAAACATTTTTTATGAAAAATTCCAATGGTTTGTATTGTTTATAACAATAGTTGGGTCTAGAGCCAAAACAAACTATTTTCCTGATAAGGTAATGGCTCAAAATTCAGAACAATGATAAAAAAATGAGAGTGTAACAACAATGCTGATGAATTAATCAATAAAAATTTTATGGAAAAAGTCGCAATTTTTCATCAATATTTTTTTGCAAAATGCTTATCAACTTTTCTTGGAGTATTGCATGAACATGTACGAAATTTTTTCACATCAAAAATAAGTCTCCGGTAGTATAGTTGGTCAGTATCCCCGCCTGTCACGCGGGAGACCAGGGTTCGAATCCCTGCCGGAGAGATTTTTTTTTCTCTTTTAAATGATAAAAAATGAATACATTTTCATACCAAGTGAAAAAGAAACATTTTTTATGAAAAATTCCAACGGTTTGTATTGTTTATAACAATAGTTGGGTCGAGAGCCAAAACAAACTATTTTCCTGATAAGGTAATGGCTCAAAATTCAGAACAATGATAAAAAAATGAGAGTATAACAACAATGCTGATGAATTAATCGATAAAAATTTTATGGAAAAAGTCGCAATTTTTCATCAATATTTTTTTGCAAAATCCTTATCAACTTTTCTTGGAGTATTGCATGAACATGTACGAAATTTTCTCACATCAAAAACAAGTCTCCGGTAGTATAGTTGGTCAGTATCCCCGCCTGTCACGCGGGAGACCAGGGTTCGAATCCCTGCCGGAGAGATTTTTTTTTCTCTTTTAAATGATAAAAAATGAATACATTTTCATAGCAAGTGAAAAAGAAACATTTTTTATGAAAAATTCCAACAGTTTGTGTTGTTTATAACAATAGTTGGATCGAGAGAGCCAAAACAAGCTATTTTTCTGATAAGGTGATGGCTCAAAATTCAGAACAATGATAAAAAAATAATAGTGTAACAGCAATGCTGATGAATTAATCAATAACAATTTTATGGAAAAAGTCTTGTGCAATATTTACTCCTCTGCATTACCGACGGCGTGATAATGTAAGCGTGCGTGCGGGGCATTGAGGAGCACCTCAATCCATTGGGGGGAAGCCTGACGTCACCAACAATCACAATAATAACGTGTCACTAGAAGGCAAAACGGTCGCACTGTAGTACTCCACTCCCAAAAACGTCAACAAATTATCCAAACTATTGTCAAAAATCCCCAAAAAACAAACTGCTCGAATCCATAATTTCCCGACACGTCAGTGGACATAAGGCCCACGAGTATACGCCATAAATTAACCAGTAAACAAGTACAATTGAGTCATCATCGGGTGCGGTGAAGCGAGAGCATTCATCTAAAATAATGAACACTTGCGGATTCGTGACTTGTGGCCCCAATGAGGCCCTGGTCGTATCAGGTAAACAATAACAATGATTATGGTGTTATAAACATTTATTTTGTGGGATAATTAACCTCGCTGAGGTGCGCTGACACTCGGAAATTATCGAGAGACGAAATCATGTGCTCTATTGGGTGAAGGACGTCAATTAGGGTCGCGCCAGTTGTTCATTAATCCGGATTTTTTAAGCTATTTTTTTATGCCACACGGAAAAATTTAGTGGAAAACCTAGCGAATTCGTTAGAAAATTCTATTGGATTTCTATTGAACTTTCTATTGGTTTTTGGCCGATTTTATTGAAACGTTCAATAGAAAATATTCAATAGATTTCGATTTTTCTATATAACTTATTCTCTTCAGATATTTTCTATAGAATTTCCTCGGTTCAAATTTTCTAAGTTTTTTTCATTCTATTTTTCTTTTCTTCTCATCGAGAATATCGAACAAAAAAACTTGGAAAATTGGAGCAGAGGAAATTCTATAGACAATATCTGAAGAGAATAAGATATATAGAAAAATTGAATTCTATTTACTTTTTCTATTGAATATTTTCTATTGAACGTTTCAATAGAATCGGCCAAAAACTAATAGTAAGTTCAATAGAATTTTCCAACGAATGCGCTAGGTTTTTCTATTAAATTTTTTCATCCGTGACTTGTCATTCTGGAGCTTTTGTGGTTGTTGTTCCAGGCTGCTGCTATGGGAAACCACTCCTTGTACCTGGAGGACGAGTGTTTGTCTGGCCGATCGTCCAACAAGTTCAGAAGTAAGGGATTATCATGATTTTTAGAATAAAGTATTGATCAATTGATGATCACGTATGAAAAAATTTAATTGAAAGCCTTAGCGAATTCGCTACAAAATTCTATTGAAATTCTCTAGAAATTCTATGGGAATTCTATTAAAATTCTAGGGAATTCTCGTTAAAATTCTAATTGATTTTTGCGCAGATTGTATTAGATGTTTGATAGGACAAAGTCAATAGATTTTGATTTTTCTGTTTGAATTTTTCTCTTGAGAGTTTGTCTATTAAAATTATTGGGCACGGATTTTTTATGTTTTTCCGCTATATTTTGTTTTGTTTTGCATTACAGGATCTGAGTGGAAAAACTTGGAAAATTTATACCCAAGAATAAATTCCAAGAAAATATTCATATAGAAAAATCGAAATCTAATTTTGACGAGAATTCCCTAGAATGTTAATAGAATCCCAGTAAAACTTCTAGAGAATTCCAATAGAATTTTCTAGCGGATTCGTTAAGTTTTTCTATTGAAGTTTTTCATACGTGATGAAGTGGTAGAATGTAATAGCATGTATGAAGAATTTTTGTAGGAATATTTTGTGTGCGGAGAGAAGAAGAGTTTCTGATGTCCAGAATTTTAAGAAACTTCAGGTTCTATTGCTCTGAAAAGAAGGAACTGTTTTAGGATATCCAAGAACTTTGGCTATTTTTTGTCCAGTGAAATGCTTTTCTATTTAAGCCTCATTTGATTCTAGGTTTTCGGACATTTACAATGATTTTATTTTGATTATTGACCAGTTTTCAATGCATATCTCGGAATCGAAGGCAGGTAGCAACATTTCTGTTAGAACCTTTTTTGTAGAGTTCATTGAGAGCTACAAACAATGTCATAACGAAAATTTCGCCATCTTCCTTAGATTCGGCGATATTCCTCGAAACCTCAGCTAAGAATTAAGTGGACTTGATTCGTTTTACCGCTTCACTACTGAAATGAAAAGTTCTATATTGAGTTTTACTATATAAGATCACTTGTTCTATGAAATACTTTGCTGGGCAGAGTGTTTCATACAGTTTTTCTTAAGGAAAATATAAATTTCTGGTGACCTTTCCGTCAAGGAAATTTCTATAAAATATGTGTACGTCCACGTGAAAAGGGCCCACTTTGTCGCATCTGGTTTCCGAGATATTCACGTTTTTCTCTCCACATCTCCCATTTAAACCAATGTTAAATTGTTTTTTTGATCGTCTATACTGACGTCAGTTTTCAGTCTATCGGGTTGATTTTGGGCTCAAGATGTGAGAAATCTGATCAAGATTATCGGAACATACATAACTCCAATACCGTCAAAGTGGGGCCCTTTTCATGTGGACGCCCACATATATCGGAATTCTCCTTAATAAGGCCTTGTCAGAGAAATTCTTCAGATAACAATTATTTCATGTTTTTGATTTCTTAATGGGCTAAGTCTCAGATATCGTAACACTCTTTAAGAAGCCGAGCACATGACGTAGCACAATTAAACTCAGGAAACATGATAAGAATAAATTGTTGAGGCATTCATCTGATAAATTCTATAGAAAATCTTATGGAGTCATCCTTCATTCAAAATTGTTCATACGTGAGAGGCAATATGACATTTCTGGGGAAAATGAAACGACTCATTGCGGGTGCCCTTGCAAAGTGTTATAAAGTGATTATTTTTTGTATCTGAGGAAATTCTTTAGTAAATAAAAGTCCTAGCTTCTAAATTTAGTCACCATTGAGATGTTGACAAAATCATTACGATGAGAGACATTTATTTTACGTTTTACCACTTGAATACTGAATTGTGATTGGGAGACCTTGAATTGATGCTGTTCATTGGGTTTCAGGATCTCGTTAAACACTATGACCCTACAGGTTGAGAGTCCCACTGTTTATACGAGTCAGGGAGTGCCGATATCCGTTACTGGAATTGCGCAAGTAAGAACATTGATGATAGTTTGCAGTACAATTGCGATTTGATATTAATTTTCGAGGAATTGGTATTTGTAGCGGGGAAAATTCTCCACAAAACAGGACTGATGAATTTGTCAGAAAGCTCTACTTTTCATGAATCTTTTGTATAATGGAATCATTTGAGAACAAGAGATGCATTCAATTATTTTCTACGTAACATTTTACCACTATTAGAGCGAAAAATTTACTACAAGGTCTTGTAACAAATTTACCATGAAGATCTCTTTTAAAAAAATTTTTTTTTAAATAGGAAACTTTCTTAATTAAAAAAAAAAATTATTAATGAAAAGTTTCGCCCTTAAGGCCCTGGTGTACTATCTTTCCAACGTTATCTCGATGTTTTTTTTCATCTGTCGTCATCTGAAATTGTCAATTAAGTCCTGCATCATGCAGAAGTTTTGAAAAATTTGAATGAATAATCAAAAAAAGCAGACAAAATTCTTAATTTTTTCAAAGAACATTTTTAATTTATATTCAGAATAAGTTGAATAACAAGAAATTGAAAAATGTATCTGATTTACGGTAACAAATGGCGGCCTGTCATCCAAAATATCATGCAGGGGGACGACTGATTTCGTAAATCTTGTCCCACACTGCACAGAGACATTTATTACCGAAAAGGCCTTTTGAAACAAGTTGTAATATTTTGGAGAATTTTTTAATCACACTTTTATCACATAAAAATGACAGATGAATACTTACCACTGTTTTGAAAATTGAGATACCTAGCTGTCACTTCCCATGAGGAATTAGTGTTTTGTTATCCACTATGGAAAATGACAGCTAATAGATAATTTGCCACAGCGAATCAGATATTTCTAATTTTCACTTTTTTCAACTCATTCTGAATCTCAATTAAAAACGCTCTTTCAAAAAGTTCAAAATTTCTTCTTCTTTTTAAATCATTCTGTCCTAATTTTTGGAATTTCTACATGATGTACCACTCAATTGACAATTTTAGATTACGAAAGATAAAAAAAAATCAGATAACATTCGAAAGATAGTACACTCGGGCCTTAAATGATTAATTTTTCATTTATAAACATTAGAAATATTGTTTGTTAATGAATAATTGATTGTCGAAAGTTGAAGATTTCAAACGCTTTGAAATCGCTAATGACGTCACAAGGGTGTTCGAACACTGGACCAATCATAGACTGTCTCCAGTCAACCTAACCCAATCTTCACACACGCCTTATCCAATGGATGATGGCGACTTCCCTCCCTCCTCACATTCGCCCAATGCAGCGCTACCCAGCATTACTTATGCCACTTTGTGACATCATGATTTTGACGTCTGACGTTTGATTTTTAATTAATTATCATAAAATATCCAGGCAATATTTCTCCATAATTATTTTCGTTTAGCTATCTATGGGTGTATGGGAGCGCTGCGCGCTCGGGATTTTAATCTGCAAAACTGATCCCTCTTGTTGCTACAGGTTGCTATGCAAAACAACATTTGGGAAATATCCCATAATTTTGAAGGTCTTGAGGTATTATAGCTGAAAATATCTCAATAGAATAAATTGTATAGAGAAATCGAATTCTTTCGACTTTTTCTATAGAATATTTTCGATTGAACATTTCAATAGAATCGGCCAAAACTAATAGAAAGTTCAATAGAAATGCAATAGAATTGTCTAGCGAGTTCTCCAGGTTTTTCTATTAAATTTTTTTATCCGCGAATGCTTCCATTCGGACGCAATATAGAAAATGCCGTCTTATCAGCATCGTTAGCACAAGATGCAATAATTCCTCATTTCCAATTTTTGCAATCGATTGGACACAAGAAATACCATAAAGAATTTTTTTTGAACTATGTAAAATAACTCTATACTGAGAGAAAAACAAACAAGTTGTCAAACAAGTCTCGTTTAGGCCAACAAAATCACTAGTTGAAAATTGCCAAAAAAGAATTTGTTTGGCTCGAATTTGAAAGTCTCAAACATGAATAATTGTTCTGCTTTCGACAGCAACGAAATATTTGGCTCAAGAGGCGGATAATTCACACCAGACGGTGCCTTTTCAGGATGAAAATATCTCATATAGAGGAAAATTTATCAACAAATATTTTATCCCTAAGTTATACGATTGCTATCATATCATTATTATTATTTCATTTAAGGGTGCCAAATGAATTTGGCGATGACCTTGAAAATTGACATTCACCAACAAAGTTATAATTTTTTTAATTAATAGTATTAGACAGATGGTGAACATCGGTAACAATTTTTAAATTTTAGAACTTATGGATATCGAGAAAGTAAATAAACAAAATCAGTCTTATACACGGCCTCTTATGGAGTTTTGATTAAATTGAACGTTTCACCCCTCTAGGAAATGAAGAAAAATTTGAAAAAATTTGAAGATATGGGGAATGATGTGTTCAATGTGATGGCGACAAAAAACAATGGGGTACCGGGGTGAATAAGAGAGATATTTCAACCCGCCGTACCCATTTGATCCCATGCTTTCTCGAGGTTCGTCACGCGAAATAGAGGATTTTCCGCATTTATTTTCTCGATGTCTAGTTCCGGTTGCGGGTTTGAAATTTCGTCGAATGGATGAATACATATTTCTCCAATAATGGAGGGAAAGAAAAAAATTTTTTTGAATCTTTTTTCAAATTTACTTGGCACCCTTAAGGGTTAATTTCTTGTCTGTGATTATTAGACAACCGAAACGAAAAACTACTATCCCTTGTATCGCATAAAACAAAGATTTTTTGGGAACAAACTACGTATGGGAGTATCGACTAACGAAGGAGTAGTGCTAGAAATGACATTTCTTGCGTGTACAGAGAATGCAATTTTTTTTGAACTACTAAATCTATTTTTGCGACAAAAATTTTTCATTCCGGCGCACTCTCTGCATGTTTCCCACAAAAAAAAATCCTTTTTTAATAATTTTCAAAAAATTATTTTCTTGGTACAAGTAAGACTTGTTTGAGAACTTTGTCGTTTTTCTCTCAGTGTATGATTACACAGATGTAATACAACGGATGATTGAAAAATCACAAACATAAATGCTATTTAGGTAAAAATTCAAGGACAAAATGAAGAGATGCTGTCGACGGCATGTGAGCAATTCCTAGGTAAAGATGAGCATGAAATTCACAATATTGCTCTGGTAACTCTCGAGGGGCATCAACGCGCAATAATGGGGAGCATGACAGTCGAGGAGATTTACAAGGATCGTAAGAAGTTCAGCAAGGAGGTCTTCGAGGTTGCCAGTAGTGATCTCATCAACATGGGCATCACAGTGGTCTCGTACACACTGAAAGATATCCGCGACGAAGAAGTAAGTAGCATGATCATTAATTATGAATGGTTCTCTCTACTCGCACCTCCGAACGTAATAAGTCGAAAACAACACCTTTATCAATTATGCAATTATCTCGTAATCAATTTTAATTGATTTGAAAAAAAGAATCTTTTGATAAATTTTTCTAAATCTCTTCTTCCTTAAAATATTTGCAAAAACTATAAAGTAAAATTAAATAGAAACAGAACTATACGAGTGTTGTGAAGATGAGTTTACAAATATCTCTGGAACTTATGGATTTAGAGAGAAAGTCGGGAGATCTTTTTCACGGATGAGAGAATTTATCACAAACAAAACTGCCCGTTGAGGTTTTTGCATTTTTTTGTTGCTGGATATGGAATGGAATGAAAAATATTAGACACGTTTTTTTTATTTCTATGAATTATGAAAAACCTCATTAGTTCTGGGCGATTAAAAACGCTTGCATTATTCCTTGTCGTTTTTTAAAATGAAAAAAATCCTTCCCAATATTTTCCATCCAATTTTCGTATTCTATCAATTAATTCAATATAAAAAAAATCATGCACCTAGCCAACTCATTCTGAAATCACTCACAATCGAGATAATTGCATAGTCTACTAGTAAAATAGAAAAACAGCATGGGTGAACTCAGCCTCGAGATGAGCTTTTGATGAATATCTCTAAAACTAACAGTGCAAAATTTTCGTAAGAACCTTTCTAGTAGAGCTTATTTTTCCCCTCAGGGAAAGCGGGGTAGAATAAAACGTTTGTGATCTCAATTTCCGTGGTGGCACCGGTTTTCAGATGGAACCCAAATAGCCGGATTTGGAGCACCGTTTTGGCAGGATTTCGAGCGAATAAATATTCAAAGGCCTCAAAGTCCATTTTCATTGGTTTCCTCTCGAAGTGCAGTTATTTCTGCACGAATTACAAGATTCATTTACATTGTACAGAGTGTAATAAATTCCTAAAATTACATCTATCTGGGGTGCTCGATCGATTAATCTGTTTGTCGCGCCTTATGTAGTGATGAAAAATTCAAACAGAAAAATCGAAATCTATCGACTTTTTTCTTATATAAATTATTAAATAACGTGATATGCTGTAATGTTAACTAATGGAGAGAGGGATCGGAACAAAATGTAAAAACCCGAGAGGGTATATATGGAACATAAAACTATTAAATAACCATTTTAACGAGAATTTTCTAGAATTTCAATAGAATTGTAATAGAATATTCTCGCGAATTCGGTAAGTTTTTCTATTGAATTTTTTCATACGTGGTGAACAGGAAACAGTTGGAGAGAGCCCATTCACTAGTTTTGAATCAAGTTTTTACTGTTGAAATAACACTAAAATTGCTCTGGATATGTTTTTCATAAGCGATTTCCTAGACTTCATTCGAAAACTCGCGACACCACAAGACTAGATATCGGTGTCATTTTCTCATTAAAAAAATGCAGCTTCAAAATGGGATGAGGTTCATTTGAATCGTAATCTCTGGTCAAGAGATATTGATCATTTACGACGACTCATTTTCCTTCACCCCCTAGAAAAATATCCTTACAGAAATTTCTTCTCTCACATATTTTCCCACTACTGATCTTCAAAGCGATCGCCTGGCTGAATTGAAAGGACGTAAAATTGACTTATTACGTTTTTCCCCTCAAAACAAAATCTGTAATCTGGAATCTTGATCTTAGATGAACTATGAACTACTAACCAGCATGTTTTAATTAACTACAATATCCAACTAACATAGTTTATGACTAATTAAATAGCCAGCATCGTCAGTGTAGTGGAGAATGATGCAGTATTTTTCGGCTATTTTCGCTTTTCTTTCCACAAAAAAACATATCTCATGCAAATGTTTGATGTGTATATTGAAATATTTCTTTGTTTTTAATCTTGCAGGACTCAAAGGTACGTTCAATTACCTGCGTCATGTGTTCGTATCTCTTTTCAATATTCTTTCGTCAAATTCAATAGTAATCACATTTTATCGCCTTTTTCTTTGCTGATCGCTGCGCATGTAAAAATTAGTCTGTTATTAGATGAAATTCGTCGTAAAGTAGACTAAATGATAGATTTGGACTTCTAGAGTCTATCCGATGCAATTGTGTTGTTCAAGCGCACTATGCACATTTTTTATTCATTTCTTCCTTTAATGAATCGGATGGAATAATCCATGTTCATGAAAATAATTGATCGTTTTAGGGATACCTGAAGGCTCTCGGTATGGCCAGAACGGCTGAGGTGAAGAGGGACGCGAGAATTGGTGAGGCTGAGGCTCGCAAGGACGCACAGATTCGAGAAGCTATGGCTGAGGAACAGAGGATGGCTGCTCGCTTCCTCAACGATGCTGACATCGCCAAAGCACAACGAGATTTTGAAATCAAGAAGGCGGCGTATGATGTTGAAGTACAAACTAAGGTGAGAGAAGTTGAATTTCTTTTTGCTTCCAAATGGAAACAACAAACCTCTGTAGGCCAAAAATTGGAGGCCCTGGAGTATTTTAAACATTTTAAGCGTCTACGGGGCAACTGAACAATAAACAATTTTTTTTGTAGTAATTATTTGTTTCTAGACATACACAGTTGAAAATTTTCGTCTACATTTTCCGTGGCAAATACCGGAAATTTTTATCGTGTTTAATTTCCACTGAAATTTCAGGCAATTTTGTCATGGAGAAATCGAATATTCCATTGATTTTCCGCTCGAATGATCTGAAAATCAATAAAATATTCGATTTTTCAGTTCAATTATTCCGTGAAAATTCAGAAAAATCTGGAAAATTCAGGGAAAAATTGAAAATTCATGTCATGTTGTTTCCGAATATTCATGTTCATTGAAAATTCAATCAAGTTGGGAAATTTTCATCTCACTCCCACTGGAAACTCCTGAATTTCCTTGAATTCTACCTAAAACTTGAAATTTCATTAACCATTTTCTCCTAAATTCGATTCAATGTCACTCTCATGAGAATTACTATGATTTCTTCCATGGAATTTCAAAAAATTCCTAATAGTGTACATAATCGATCTGTAATGTACGAAAACTCTCACTCCAATAGCCCGCGACTTTTAAAACTCATAGTAGTCTACCCTTACATGAAAGTTGTTTTCATTTTCACCAACATCTCTTGATTGAAATCATTTTGATTTTCATAACACGTATGAAAAAATTGAATAGAAAACCTAGCGAATTCGCTAGAAAATTCTATTGGAATTCTATGGGGTTTCTATAGGATTTCTATTGTAATTCGATTGAAAAATCCTATTTGTTTTTTGCGCTGATTCTATTGGATATTCGATAAGAAAAAGTCAATAGATTTCGAATTTCTGTTTGAATTTTTCTCTTGGGATTTTTTCTATAAGAATGCTCGGGCATCAATTTTCTAATTTTTTTTCAGTCGGATTCTGCAGTGCAAAACAAAACAAAATCCAGCGGAAAAACTTGAAAAATTTGTGCCCAATAATTCTAATAAAAAAAATCTAAGAGAAAAACTCAAACAGAAATTCGAAATCTACTGAATTTTTCTTATTAAATATCCAACAGAATCAGCGCAAAAAACAAATGGAATTTTTCAATAGAATTCCTATAGAATTCCACTAGAATTTTCTAGCGAATTCGCTAGGTTTTCTATTGTATTTTTTCATGTGTGAATTATTAGCTTGTCACTAAATCATTCGATTTCTTAATTCTTGTCAACTTAGCTTCTCATCTATTCATCAACTCCTCAATCTCCTTCACCATTTCCACTTTATGAGATTTATCTAAATTGAATTTCCTCTCTGTCCTCCTCAGAAAGCAGAGGCTGAGATGGCTTTTGAGCTTCAAGCCGCCAAGACCAAGCAAAGAATCATGGAAGAGCAGATGCAGGTGAAGGTTGTAGAACGTGGACAGGAGATCGCAGTTCAGGAACAAGAGATGATGCGTCGTGAGAGAGAGTTGGATGCAACTGTTCGACGTCCAGCTGACGCTGAGAAGTACAGGCTGGAGAAGATGGCTGAGGCCAACAAACTCAGACTGGTGATGGAGGCGGAGGCTGAGGCTGAGGCAATCAAGGTTCGTGGTGAGGCTGAGGCATGTGCTATTGAGGCTAAAGCCAAGGCTGAGGCCAACCAAATGGCTAAGAAGGCTGCCGCATGGGGCGAGTATGGAAGTGCTGCTATGGTCGATATGATGCTTGACACTTTGCCAAAGGTAATAATGTTTCTAATTATATCGATAGAAGACAAAATCAGACATTCATTTGTGGGCATTACTCCCATATTATTAATAAATTATTGAAATTAATTTAGAAATTAAGGCCCGGGTGTACTATCTTTTGAACGTTATCTCGATGTCTTTTTTCATCTTTCGTCATCTGAAATTGTCAATTGAGTCCTGCATCATGCAGAAGTTTTGAAAAATTATGAATGAATTATCAAAGAAAGTAGAAGAAATTCTTAATTTTTTCAAAGAGTATTTTTAATTTATATTCAGAATAAGTTGAATAACAAGAAATAAAAAAATCCAATCATCCAATATCATGCAGGAGGAAGATTGATTTCGTAAATCTTTTCCCACCCTGCACAGAGACATTTATTACGGAAAAGGCTCTTTGAAAAAAGTTTGGAGAATTTTCGAATCTCACTTTTATCACATAAAAATGGCAGATGACTACATACCACTGTTTTAAAAATTGAGATACCTAGCTGTCACTTCCCATGAGGAGTTAGTGTTTTGCTATCCACCATGGAAAATGACAGCTAATAGATAATTTGCCACAGCGAATTAGATATTTGTAATTTCCTCTTTTTTTTGTTAAGAAACAATGAATTATCAAATGCAAAAATATTAAAGACGGTTACTCGAATATTATTTTCCAGGTCGCAGCTGAGGTTGCAGCCCCTTTGTCCCAAGCAAAAAAGATAACAATGGTGTCTAGTGGGAATGGTTCTATTGGAGCTGAAAAACTGACGGAGGAAGTCCTCAACATCGTGACCCGTGTCCCAGAACTTGTCAAGACTCTGACAGGTGTAGACATAGCAAAGGTAGATAACCGAGGAAAATCTTAAGCTACAAAATAGAACTGCTTCAAAAGCTCCTCATAATAAAATTCAACAATTAAAAATAAATGAAATACAGAGTCGAAGTGGTGAAACGCGGCGAATCACTTTTTTGACAAAGTTATCTATTACGAACAATGGAGTTCTTTCATTCTTTGACAATTGATGGTTTGCATTGAGACTTTGTCTGCGAAAATTGCAATCCTCACGTTTTCATTGTACGATATACATATTAAATTCCATTAAGAGGAAATGGTATCCCCTCAGTTCACCAACGATTTTTAAAAATAAAAACTGTCGAATTTTCGGGCGGTTATTCGGCAATCAAATCATTGACTGAGGCCCGGTTGCACCAAGCCCTGTCATCCAAATAAATCCCAGGGTAAAATTTATCCTCAGGGTCAATTATATCGTAGGGGTCATAATTTTCTAATATTTGACCCGAAGAATAATTTTTTATTTATCCTATAGCCCCATTTGAATTAACTCTGATTTAACCTTGAGATAAAATTTTATTTTTTATTTCTGGAATAAATAAGAGATACTCTCCCGGGTAAAATAATCCATCGAGCAACCAGATTTACTTTTCTTCTTATCAGAAGTTTTCATTACCCGAAGCTGGTGCAACCGGGCTTTTGAGACCTTTGAGATTTTATACATTTGATATTGGAGGGATTATCTATGCCCTGAACTGTTTTTATGTTGATATGAGAAATGAAAAAATTAAAAATTTGATTACCACCTGAAACTGTAGTGAAAAAACCGAAATTTCGTGTCTATCATTTATCGAATATCAAAATACAGATATCAGGAACCCAATTACGCGTTATGCAATCTGAATTCCACAAGCTATAATTCAAATTTTAAAATGTTTAATTAATTTTTTATATATAATTCGACAGGTATATTAGGGCAGGTGCAATCGAAGAAAAATAAAATCAACAAATTTGGGCCCAAGTTTTGTGGAATTTGTCGTATGCTTAAATTGCATATACTTGATTTATACATGTCGAATCGGGAATTTGGATGATTTTTTCTAATTTATTAATTTCAAGTTGCAAAATAAAAAGTTTTAAAAATGTACAATTTTGAATCAATTATCATAAAATATCTAGACAATATTTCTCCATAATTCTTTTTGTTTACCCAACTATGGGTTCTGTAGCATGGATGAATAAGGAAATTGGAAAAACTGTACATTAAATTAAACTTTTACAAGTTTGAATTATGCAGCGGGGAATGCAATTGCATAATATTTAATTAGGATGGTACATTACAATTTAGTAGAATTTAATGTGCATATCGCATCATTCAAACGTGGGGATATAAATTTTTATAGGCGAAGTTAAGCATTAGTTGTGTCCAAAAATGAAGTTATTGGACTCGTTGTCTCGAATAACTCATTTTGTCAAGAGAATGTTCTGTTAAAATATGTCTTCAAGATCAGTTTTTTAAAAGGTCTCAGCAGTATGAGATAAATGGCATCATTTTTCTGAAGAATTGGTTTTTAAAAGATCTTCATAGAAACTTAATCATACCCTTCGGAGATACCTATGAAAAACTTATCCTGAAGATGAGTATTTGCGTTCTGTTTCACTACTTCAGTATTAAATAAATTATCTAGTCAACAAGCCCCTGCCTCATTGAACATGAAAACAATTTCTCTATTTCAGTCTGTCCACGCGGCATAAATTGAGCAAAAAGCCGCCCCTTGTCATCCAAAGATAAACAACACCTACGATAAATGCATTATCGAATAATTTAATTTTACAAATTGCACTTATCTGTTTTATTTTGAAAATAAGATGATTTATTACTAACGCTGATAATGCAGGATGCATTGATTAACAATTTAATTTTTCTATGGAATAAAAACCCGTTTAGGCTAAATAATCAAAGTATTTCCAGAACAAAAAGAAAACGCGAATAAAATAAAATTATTGTATTTTCATACTTCTTGACAAAAAAAATGTATAATCTCAGCGGTAAAATTTAGGAAATTTCTATAGCTGGTTTAAGGATCTAGGTAATTTTAGTCCAGTGGAACATTCTCATTCCGATAATGAAGTGAAAAGAAACTGGAGGATATGACGAAAGCAGCAGTGAAATGGTAAAATGGAAAGTAAGAAATTCCGCGATTCCTTAAGAATATCCAAGTACTTTGGCCATTTTTTCCAGAGCTTCCATTAAAGTCCTAGTTAACCTTAGTTTCCAAATATTTTTCAATGAGTTTATTATTTCAAATTTTGAAGGTTTAGATCTGATACTTTATTTTGAGCCATTGAGAAAAATTTGGCAAATCTGGATAAATTGGAGCGTCTACTGTTGGAAAAAAAATTGTAAATAATTGAGGATAATTTTTTAAGATCATGATGCTTTTTTTGTGAGTCATTCATAAATGATCAACTTTTCACTGTTGAAAAACCGGATTTCACCCGGCGTCTATGGAAAAATCAATAATTTTTTATACTAGTGCATTTGGTGACCCAAGTGAATTCTCTAATTTAATCGGGGGGCCTAATTTTTTTCATGTTGAAATCAACATTTAGGCGATAAATGCTAGAAAAGTCTAGAATACACTGAGAGAAAAACAGCAGAATTCTGACACAAGTCTTACTTGTGCCAAAAAAATCGTTCGTTAAAAATGATCAAAAAAGGATTTTTTTGTAGGACATGCGAAGCGTGCGACGAGATTGAAAATTTTTATTACAAAAATAGATTTAAGTCTTCATAAAAAATCTATTTTCGATGCAAACAAGAAATGTCATTTCTAGCACTACTTCTTCGTTATTCGATGCTCCCATACATATTTTGCTTCCGGCAAATGCTCGTTTTATATGAAAAAATTCGATTGTTGATCACTGGCTCCCATTGTGAGTGGCTTGGAGTGGGTGTGACCCAATTCAACCCACTCGGCAATTGGTCGGGAAGTTATTGGTTCGACCCGTAATGCGGAACTAATTGCTTTTTCTTCATTCATTGGAATTAGATTTTTCTATACAACTTATTCTATTGAGGTATTTTCCATTGAATTTCCTCGGCTCAAATTTTCCAAGTTTTTTTGTTTGATTTTCTTAATGAAAAAAACATAAAAATAGCATGACAAAAATAATAGTAGAAAAAATTGACCTGTATTGAAAAATCTTTGAAAAGTTTCAAATTTCAAAAATTCATGTTCGAATTACTCCGAAACCGCTGAGATAATTTTGCTGGAATTTCACTCCTGTCTTAATCATACAAAGTTGTATCAATTATGATGACAAGAAATCAATCTCAGCGTTTCTCTGACGAATCACTGAATTTGTAGACAATATAATTTTTCGACGTTTTCTCACAAGCTTTATTGTAAAATCTAAAGGGCAATCTAATCAGTTCTAAGTTACATGAAAACACATCGATCGCGTGAAAAAAAATTGAATCGCATCGTTTGCTCGAGAGAAATCGTAGCACAAAATTTTGGTTACACACACACACAGACCGATCTCTAAAAAGTGTCGGGAGAGTTTCTAAGGGTCATGAAACGTGGAGAAATCAGGAAATTTCCACAATCGATTTTCGGGGGCATTATAACAACTACCTCCCCTCGGCCCAAACAAAACTTGTCTGAGAATTTGTTCGTTTTTCTCTCAGTGTACTCTGAAATATTGTCGGGGCACCTAGAGAGTGTATTGATGATGAAAGGGTCTCTAGATGCGCTTTCAAATCAATCGAATAGTTTTTATAAACTATCCACTATTTTTAAGGTAATTTTACGATAAAATCACACAAAATTAATGTAAAAATTCCTTCGCAGAAAACCGAGGTATCGGTCTAGATTTTTTTATATCTTTCTAGAACCTTCCATGATTTTCCGAAGCTGTAGCTACTAAATTAATCGCGAAATTTCTAAAGATTTCTAGAACATTTGAGTCTTCTGGAAAATTCTGCTTCCGAGAAATGCAGAGGTTTCCAGACGATTCGTGAACTTTCCAGAGGATTCTGTAACGTTCTGGACCTTTCTTGAATTTTTTAGAAACTTCCATGAAGTTTCGGAGAAACGAACATCTCAAATTATATGGAGTAAGATTTTTTGGTGAAAAATGAAGACTACAATCAATTTTTTTAAATTAACTGTACAAAAAATGGAAGATTTTTTGATAAATCATAAAAAATCAGCTTTTGTTTTTAAACAAGTTAAATTATTGATTCATGAAAATAACTGTTTAAAAATATTAATATGTTGCAAAATGTAATATAGATGATATTCACTAAATATTAATTTTTCTAATTTTTCTCACGCAAGTTAATTAATAAATTTGATAAGTTGATGAATAGTTTTTTATAATTTTGGTACTTGGATATTCTTAAATATGAATATATCTCGAAAATGAGTGGTTTTGGTGGAAAATTGCAGATCACTTTTTCAAGAATTGTTTCTGCTACGAAAAATGTATTTCAACATCTTTGAACGACTCGTCACTGAGATAACTGCACAAATAACCGAATCGAAAAATTTGATAGTTTACGTTTTACGATTTCACTGGAGAAATAGTTACCATTAATTGTGTGTGGTCTCTTACGCAATTTCTAGATGTTCTACATAGCAAAAATAAAGTATATTGCAATACATATTTACGACGATATACATCATAAGGATAACGAGCAAAAGAATTGAGTGTAAAGATGTCCTGGTTGTTTAAGATTGAAATGCAGGCGCGGCGTTTCGCTATCGTGTGTAATATAACTTACAATAAAATCTGAAATTTGTTTCACTTGAAGTCATCGTGTAGTTTCTTCATTCGTAACGAAATTTTACTTCCATTTCCCTTTCCTGTTCTTGTCGTTCTCTTCTGCATGAAACTGTTGTTTTTTTCAAGTATTTCACGCACGAAAAAATTTAATAGAAAAACCTATCGAATTCGTTAGAAAATTCTATTGAATTTCTATTAAACTTTCTATTAGTTTTTGCCTGATTCTATTGACATGTTCAATAGAAAAAATTCAACAGAAAAAGTTAACAGAATTCGATTTTTTATATAGCTTATTCTTTTCATATATTTTCTATAGAATTTGCTCGACTCAAAGTTTTTTCCATTCTATTTTTATTTTCTTCTCATCAAGAAAATCAAACGAAAAAACTTAGAAAATTTGAGCCGAGGAAAATCTATAGATAATATCTTAATAGAATAAGTTATATAGAAAAATTGAATTCTATTGACTTTTTTTACTGCATATTTTCTATTGAACATTTCAATAGAATCGGCCAAAAACTAATAGAACAGTTCAATAGAAATTCAATAGAATTTTCCAAAGAATTCGATAGGTTTTTCTATTAAATTTTTTCGTCCGTGTTTACACGGAATTAATGTTTAATTACTATCAACATCTGGTAGAGATTATCTTCATTCACAAATCCTCGTGACGTCATTCAGAGATAACTGGCATGAGAAAACATGCATTTTCGTTTTTTTTTAATTGTCAAGATGTTTCATGAAAGGCCATGTAGAATTTCAATCATCAAGTGGTAAGAGGAGATGAGTCGAGAATTCACGTAAGATGGTTTCGCGAATATCTTGGAAATGAAGAGATTCGAAGAAAAATCTCAAGAGATATTTTTCGACCGTTTCGCATTCTCCGCAGCAGAAGTTTTTCGATTTTGTTTTTCTACACAGAATAGTTCAGTAGCGAAGCGGTAAACCGGGTTAAGTCTATTTTGACGATTGACCAGTTTTTGACGAATATCTCGCAACCTAAAAGAGAGAAAAATTTTTGTCACGACCTTTTTTGTAGAGCCAATTGAGGGTTATAAAAAAGGTTATGAGAAAAATTTTGCTGTATCTCTTAGATTCCAAGATATTCATCAAAAATTAGCCAAAAGTCAAAATGGACTTAACCCGATTTACCGCTTCGCTACTGAGTTTTAAAGGGGTTCATAAAATAAGTTGTGAATCTATTCAATCTTCAATCTTCAATTTCTTCGAGTGAAAATATTTAGGAAATGATGAGGTTTAAAGATAATCATTAATCTTTTTCATCGAGACAGAGATGGGCTTTTTTTTAAACCTATTTTCTAAATGTATAGAGATAGTTATCGAAGAATAGGCGTAAAAATTCGTGAAAATTTCACGAATAAAAAATAGTTTGGCAAGAATAGGAATTGAACGAATTCCTTTTATTGGAAAAATTCAGGAAACAATAACGTTTAAAGATAATTATTAAAAAGTCTTTCATACAGACAGAGATGGGATGTAAAAAAATTATTATGCTATTGTTTCCTAAACCTATTAGTGCTAGAGATATTTATTGAATGGTAAGTGTAAAAATTTTACATTTCTCTGATGTTAACGATTCAGCATTCAATCGAGTCATCAATATTACATGTAAAAATTTAACGAATAAAAAATATTCTAACAAGAACAGGAATTGAACATTTTCCACATCCTTTAGTCGTAAAATAAATTTTTATTATCATTCATACCTTTGTTGAGTTGGATATATCTTCTCACTTTACTCATCACTTTTTAGAAATACGAATTAAGAACATAATAAATATACAACTATACACCTACGTAATAATGAGAAAAAATAACGTATATTGAACAAAATGCCTTGATTTAATTCAGCATCGTGTGGCGATCGTAGATATTGCGTCGTTGCTCTCGAACTTGTCTCTTCCATTTGTCCTGCTGGTGTCCAACGCGATTTAGTACATTTGATCTTACGCCCATCTGGTGAGACGAGGTCCCAGGAGCTCCAGAAATGGTGTCATCCTGAAGAGAAAAAAATTATAAAATGGCTGAAACCTTTAGACTCCCAGAATTAAGCCAGAAGTAAGCTGAAGTACATCATTTACCTCTTCATTCGTGTGCTCCAGATATCCAGTACCTCCAGTGTTCTTCCTGATTCGTTTGTTCAATAGTGGCTCGAGGCAAATCAAAAACAACATATAGATCACGAGCAGCGAAATTACCCAAATAACAATAATTACAACGATCTGGAAAAAAAAATGGAATGTTGGAAATTGAATGTCACAGGCATCCAAGTTGACAGTGGGCTCTATCTCTCTATCTCCCTATATATTGTAAAAATCCAAATCAACATCTGGTGATGAAAATTTGATAGGGTCAGAATTCGATAGGGATTTGAAGGGTCAGAAGTTAAGGGTTCCAATACACTGACAGAAAAAGTTAATTTTATCAAGAGAATTTTATTTGAACCAACTGTCATTTGGTTGCTAATTTTCAAATAAACATGATTTCATAGTGAATACCAGTTATCTCTTCTTGAGATACATTTCATTGGGAAAAATCGAACTTCTCTAGAATTGAAGTTCCTTTTATTTGTCGCAATAATGAGAGTATTTGATTTCTTTCTAGCCAAAAGCTTGCAAACTCCAGAAATTCGTTGGTTTACTCCAAAATCAAAATTATCCTCATTACCAAATACGTTGTTATCTCCATCAACACGATCATACGTTGTTCCAAGTCAATTATCATTGAAGTGAGCATTGTAGTAAGATGTCGTTGAGTTGAAAGAAGTTTATATTTCTTGACTAAAAAAATCGCATTAGTTTACAATAACAGAATCACAGATTACGGCAATTCAACACAAACTTGGATATCACAAATTTCGTTCAATGTGATGTACGCAAGGCTCAAATTAAACATCGGCTTCATTCGAGAAAACAACATTCAATTGATTCCTTAATGTAATCATCTCCTAGGTACGAATTTTTTATTAATTTATGAAAGTAGAAAATTTCTCGATTGGAGATTATATTAGGTTAAAAAAAAAGAACTTTTCCATTTTTGTGGTGAGTACATGCGATTTGACGCCAAGGACTGTTTTATTTAATTCAAGCAAATGTATCTCAAGACGAAACAATTGATGTTCACCGCAAGATTTTATTTATTTGAAATTGGTTCAAGTATGTAATACTTGTTCCAAAAAAAACATCTCAATAAAAATATTTTTTTTTATCAGTGTAAGGGTCATGGGGGTCAACATAAGGGTCAGAATAAGGGTCTTCGGATAATATAAAGCTATATGGGGGTCATATGAAGACAATATGGGGGTCGTAGCCCCCTAGTGTTAATTATGGAATTAATTGAAGAAATAGTAGAATAGTTAAAGTTGAACATGAAATGGAAGAAAAGAGTAGAACGCGTCGGGTTTGACATTTTCGTTAAGCTCGCCATTACCTCGAGAATACATAATATGAAATAAAGCTTTACGCACGACAATTTTTTTACAAATAATTTGAAAAGATGTCACGTCTTTTGTTGAGTATTTCTTCAGCTACAGGAGAAATGTCTTTGAAATACTCTCAAATGATTTGTTTTACTATAGATTTATTACTGGCCCCGACAAGACTTGTTTGTTTTTCTCGCAGTCTAGTGAAACGATAGAACAGGTTGAGTCAAGTAAAGTAAATTAGTAGAACATAATTCCTCAAGGTCAACATTTTTTAAAATATGATTATGTTCTACCACTTCGCAAAAAAAAAATTTTTATTGTAAAAAAAACTTTGTTCTAGGAGAAAAAATTGGAAGACATTAGGTGATGAAAGGCCCCCTGAAAAAATGTTGATAATTTCTCCTCTCGTCAGCCACCACCGAGATAACTCCTTCCCGATATGGATGCGACATTTTAATCATGTTCTTCATAAATTTCAAGTTCAAGTTCATACCTTGATAATGGTGGTGTTACGATTCTCGTATTTACATTCACATCTAGAACAGAAGATGAGTTCTTGTCCATTGAGTTGATCCTTAATCTGGGGGAGAATGACTTTCTCACAGTTGCTGAAACAAATGGTTTCATTCAAAGCTGTGACTTGAGCAATTGTTCAGGGTCGACTGGGACAAAATAAACCTCTTCTATTTTTTTATAATGTTAATTACTCATTGGATTTCTGAGCCTCAATTGAGGTCAGTTGATGAATTGATTTTTTAATTATAAATATGACTTCACAATTTTCTTTTTTCGTACATCATATCATATCATATATCATATCGTTTTATGTTATTTTGTCTAATCGAACGATACTTTTTCTTTAATCAATTGTGTCAAATTACTTGTGAAATTTTTTGTATAATTGGAAGAATGGTGCTATGTATATTGTCTTGAAGCTGCGATAAAATGGTGTTAGAAAAACTTATTGTTCACTCTCCCCTATACCTTGAATTTGAACGACTACAAAGCGTCCATTCTGAAGCAACACACTGACAACAAAAATTATTCGGGCCAAATATCCATTTACTTGAGAGACGTATTCATTTTTGCAATACCATATTTCTCCAGTCAAGTCATTCCCAGGCAATTCTCATTATGTTTCAATTATGACGATTATATTGCTCTGGGAAATGATCACGTTAGTTATAACCTTGAGTGAACTCCCTCAATCATTATAAACATTGAAAAATTTATTGAAATTCTTCCCTGTTGAAAATAAGAAATTTAGGAAAAATTAATAATCATTGGAGAAGTTCATCCAAGATCATGTTCAACATAGTCATCCTCTAGAGAAACATAATTGTCATAATTGGAGTAATAAACCTAATCAGGCTCGCCTGGGAGTGACTCGATTGAGAAATACGATTATGAAAAAATAAATGCTTTTCCCAAATAAATGAATATTTGGCGAAAATAATTTTTTTTTCAGTGTAAACTCCACAAGTGTACACTGTGCCCACTCTCCGTTCGAGCATCAAAAGATTTTTCTTTAAGGCCCGGGTGGATTATCTTCTGAACGTTTATCTCAATTGTGTTTCCCTCTTCACAGTGTAAAATATAGGGGAGGGTGGGGTAAAATGGACACTTTAGACTTTTTTAATATTATTCATAACTCAGAAACAAATTTATTAATTGAGATCAGTTTAAGCTCATGACAAAGGGAAAGAACTGTTGTTTGTATTAAAAAAAAATTACTAAATTTCATCAACATTTCAACAGGTCATTAACATGTAAAAAAAAGTCAAAAGTGTCCATTTTACCCCAGCCTCCCCTATCACAATTTCTATTGGATTTGACATCACGCAGGAGTCCCTAAAAATTATGATTGTTCAATAAAAAGGAGTAGAAAAAAAAATGAACATTTTTAAAGAGCGTTTTTAATATAGATTAAGAAATAAGTTCGATAGAGAGGAAATAGTGAATGGATAATTTATCATGGTAACTAACGATCTGACAGCTATTTACTGCTGTGACAAATGACGACCTAACAGCCATTAGATATATCATAGTACATTAAAGTACAAGGGCACAAATTTCGTTTTCGACGAATGTGAAGTTTACAGGCCGAGCCGAAGGCAAGGTCTGTATTCACATTCGTTGAAAACGAAGTTTATGCCCGAGTGGTCTATACTATTTTGTGCCACATCGTGCAGAAGCCGAGTTTGAAGCACGCTGCGCGAAATGTTCATGTAAGGAAATGTGCTGTAATAAATTGTGCCGTAATTAAATGGTATAATTAATTCTGCCGTAATGATTAGAGGTACAATCTGCTTATACCTTCATTTTGTCAGAATTTCGATAAATTATTGATGGTAAAAAAAGTGAAGTGTTTATACTCTCCCAATCTCCTCTACACGAGACGACTAATAAGAATGTATATCTCACCAATTAGATGGAGGAACATTAGAAATAAAATTCCTCCGTGCAGTCGAGGGATTAGTCGTGTTTATCAACGAGGACATATTCGGGCAGATGCACTTGCAGCGTTTATCATCGTACGACTGTGCACTCTAGCAAGGAGAAAAAAAATAAATGACTTACTCCAAAAATCCTGAGGCTGAAAGGACCAAATAAAAGCTCCAGTTACCTGGCATTCGGTGAAGTACACGATTGCAAGGATAAACAAAACTCCTCCGCACTTCCACATATTCAGATCACCTTGGGAATGTCACTGCGGAAGAACTTTCTAAATTCGCGAAAATGGAAATTTACTGGAATCGTTGGAAAGAATAACAACAGCTTTCAACTTCCATCACATGTCATGCACTTGACTTTTGTGTAGAACTTGCTATAGTTTACGTCAAGTTTGCTTGACGATGCTGACAGAACTGCAAGAACTGCTCCAAAACACGAGACGTCGTCAAATTCTTCCGTGAACTCATGAAGGCGGGGGGGTGACTTGGTGATAGAAACGGTACTCAACCTACTCAATATATTAGCGGGTTACGTTCCTACTAGAATCACTTGATGGCGCTAGTATGATATTTTCATTTGCTTTATCAACTGTGGAGTCTTACTAGCAATTATAAGTAGGGAAGGATAGGATAAAACGGATACTTTGGACTTTTTTTGAAATATTCATGACGTGTTGAATTGTTTATGAAATGGAATAATTTTCTTTTTCAATTGAAAAACAATGATTCCTCTTTGTGATGAGCAGAGACTGAGCTCAATTGATAAATCTGTTTCTGAGTTATGAATATTTTTAAAAAAGTCAAAAGTGTCCATTTTACCCTAGCCTCCCCTAAGCGAGACTTCACTTTCCGAAGATATTTAGTTTTGTCTTTTGTCATTCCGGCGGCGCTTCACAGACCGCTGAGGCATCCGACAAAAAATCATTATAGTTATGACAAAAAGTATTGTTTATTCACACAAGCGAAATTTTTTTTCTAGCTCCTATGATTGCACCCCTCCCCTTCGACTCGGGCTCATATTCATCAGAATTAGTAGGGGATGATGGGTAAAATGGACACTTATGACTTTTTAAGAAATATTCATAACTCAGAAACAGATTTATTAATTGAGCTCAGTCTAAGCTTATCACAAAGAGGAATCATTGTTCTTTCTATTGAACAATAAAATTATTCCATTTCATGAACAATTCAACACGTCATAAACATTTCAAAAAAAGTCAAAAGTGTCCATTTTACCCCACCCTCCCCTACATTCCATTTCATGAACAATTCAACACGTCATAAACATTTCAAAAAAAGTCAAAAGTGTCCATTTTACCCCACCCTCCCCTACATTTCGATACGAGTGCGTAAAAGTGTTATGTCACACGGCGGTAAAAGTATTATCTGACTCATGTGATTCTCGCCTTTAGCTCGGATTGTAGAGTCACATTCGGAAGATTAGTATATTTTGATACGAGTGCGTAAAAGTGTTTTTCTGTACTACTTCTCACGATTTCTCGTCTGGGAATTGGTATTACATGCTTCCCAAACTCGAAAACTTGAAAATCACTACAGAAAATAGTATATTTCGATACGAGTGCGTAAAAGTGTTTTTCTGTACTACTTCTCACGATTTCTCGTCTGGGAATTGGTATTACATGCTTCCCAAACTCGAAAACTTGAAAATCACTACAGAAAATAGTATATTTCGATACGAGTGAGACAGAATTCTCACGAGTGTGAAGTTGGCGGCCCGAGGCGAAGCCGAGGGCTGCCAATCACACGAGCTGAAAATTCCTGTCTCACATGTGTTGAACAATAGTTTTTGACAGTGATGTTACGTTCAGCGAGTGGCGAACTGTGCCTTTTTTCGTTTACTAGTAAACGAAAAGACTTTTCGTTTACGAGTAAACGAAAAGGCACTTTTCGACACGAGGTGAACGTAGCAGCAGTGTCAAAAAATATTGTTCCTGGGCTGTTGCAATGGGGTTTTTTACGCGTCTGGCGTTGGCCTCCGAGCCGTAGGCGAGGACTGGCCCACACACGAGTAAAAAAACCCCATCGCAACAGGCCGGAAAAATACTATTTCGTCACACTGACCGTAAAACGTCGTTTTACGATGGCCACTTCATGTCCGTCAAACGCCGTTTACGGATATTGTGAAAAAAAATCAGTACCGAAGTGATAAAACGGTAAAAGTCAATTTTGACTATTGACCAGTTTTCAATGAATATCTCAGAATCTAAGGAAGATAGCAAAATTGTTGTCATAACTTTTTTGTAGAGCCGATTGAGAGCTACAACAAATGTAATTACGAAAATTTTGCTATCTCCCTTAGATTCGGAAATATTCTTCAGAAACTCTACTGGGAGATGAGTCGACTTAAATCGTTTTACCACTTCGTTACTGAATTATGTTCGTCACTCGACTGAAAGCAACTTGTCTGACTTGTATAATGCGTTCCTCGGCTTCGCCTCGGTTTGCAACCCTCACTCATCAGAAAAGTTTTTTCGACCTTGTGACGAAAATAGCTATTTCTCTAGTGGAATACTTTTCTACTTTTGTAGTCGAACATCAGAGCCCTGTTTTGGCCCTATTTGGACATTTTACAATGATTTTACTACTTAATCTTTACAGATTAGCATTGGAATCTCGCTATTAAACCGTTTAAAAATCTAAAAAAAATTAGAAAGTGTACTTTTGGAGGAAAATTGATACAATCCTATTCTAACAATTAAAAAATTGCAATTTTTGAAAATTACTAGCTTTTTTATAAATAATTCATAGACAATCAATTTTCCATCATAAAAATAATTTATTCAGAATCGTAATAAATGTATTCACATTGAGAATTTTATCAGAAATCGATTTCATGCCTAAAAAAATTCGAGTACGGTGTTGCTCGCTCGTTTCGCTCGCTCCCATTGCAGGTAGGTTAGAGTGGGTGTGACCCATTACTGGTCGAACCAAAAAACTTGAAGCGCATCCGAGAGGCTGGTCACTTAGAAAATCACTGGACCACTCGACTGGAAATCAAGGAAGAAATCACCAGAAATTAATAGAAATCATAAAGAAATCGGGTGATTTCCGAAATCATTATAAATCATCGATAAGTGTAAAATCGAAATTCATTTTGCAGTTTCAAGTCTACAATTTCTGTTATTTCTGTTATGGTATCGGTGCGTTCGAAATCATCCAATCCCGAAATGTGACGCTATGAAGTTTTTGACATCCTTGCGTATTGTAACGTCATGTAGAAACTGCAACTGTCGACAGATGCTCCACTCTGGTCCCGAAATCATGATTGCTTCGTTGATTTGTCGAAATCAAGAAATCATTAGAATCTACGAGAAATCATGGAAATCACAAAAAATAAAAAAAAATCATGATTTCTAATGCTGATTGAGAAATCACAAAAATCATTCGAGGAATGACCGAAATCAACAGGAAATCACAGGAAATCATCTCATTCTGGAAATCACTGAGTCACTCGATTGCGGAGGGACCAGCGCCTTGATTGCATCGGTTGTTCGACAGAAATCGTAGCACCAAATTTTGGTCACATATACACACATCGTTTTGAAACGGAGAAATCATGAAATTTCCACAATCAGTTTTGGGGTTATTATAATAACTTCCTCCCTTCGGGCCGGGAAGTTAAAAATAAAGTTTCCGGAAGTTTAAACAATTTTAATTATTGACATTATTGGCTTCCGGATGGATGCCGCGTTTGATTTCAGCATTGCGCCAACGTATCGTATGGTTTTAATTGACCAGCTGATCAATTAAAACCATACGATTGGCTGACCCTCCCCCTCTTCACCTTCCCCCACCATCACAGGGGAAGACATATAAGGACAACCCCCAAACATCGGAGCTCAGAATCGGAGTCGGAGCTCACAGCCCTGAAGATGCAGACTGCAATATTTGCGAAACGTCGGCGCATTGCTGAAGCCAAACGCGGCATCCATCCGGAAGCCAATAATGTCATTAATAATGGCCGCGAAAGCCTCAAAACTAAGAATTTTAATTATTTATTTTTACACAACAAATATTTTTAAAAAATAATTCTGTGCAAAATGTAATTTTAATGACGCTAAATATTCATGACTTTTCCTTCAAATTTTTCTCACGCAATTTATTTGACAAATTTGATGATTAAAAATGCTTGAATAATAGTACTGTCTGTACCAAGCTGCAAAAGATACCTGGATATCCTCAAGTTTGTTGACCGCACAGATTCAAACGTCCCGCCCCTTCACCGCCCTGAATTACCCCCGTTGATAAAGAAATCGGGAGCCCCACGGAAGCGCCACAATCTCCTTCCAATTACCACTCCTACATCTCCCCCCCAACAACTCACAAATTCTCCGCAACACTGAGTTTTCCCACCACACAATAAAAAGCGTGAAAAAACGTCCCAGTCCAAAAAGGAAAAAACACCTCCCGTATAATCCTCGGTTTTCACGAGAACGTGAATGTGTACAGTTTTCCGAAGTGTGTCGTTGCTTACCCCCTCAAAACACCAATCCACACAGGTGTCGAAGTGGCATCAGTAGCCCCTGCGAGGTAAAGCTTCCCGAGTCAGTTGCAGTGTACGTGTTAAACAAAAAAAAAGCCTAAAAAAAGGGGAAATAAAGAACTTGAGGATTGGGTGGGAAGAAGGAGAGATACAGAAGCGAGTCAGAGGAGTCAGTTCCCGCGAGTTTTCACAGGGCTCTGGCGAGTGGCAAGTGTATAATTTTTTTTACTTTATTATCGCTCTCTCGCTTGTCCTCACCCCGTGAACGTGAATTTCTGGTCTCTTTTGAGGTGTGAAAATCGTGAAAAAAGTGGAGTGCAGGCTTTGCGCAATTTGTGATGATCTTTTTTTTTCGGTGATTCAGTGGTTGTTTTCCTGTTCATCCAGTGACTGTGTTGATGACCGATTAGAGTGGTAGTCGCGCGCATCTCTTACACCGTTGAGTTGACAAAATAAAGTTGAGCATAAATAAATAATCGGAAGGGGAAGAGAGAGAAATTGAGAACATTTGTGGTTTTATTGTCGAGTGGGGAATGTAAATGCTGGGGTTTTTCGTCGGTGGAACGGTCGAGGATTGTTGCTAACAATTGGAAAAAGGGTGGAACCACCAGGTGACGAAGGAGAGTTGGGTCTTGGTCCACCTGGTTGCGATGTGGAGGCGTCGTGGATGGTTACTCGGCGTCCTGGATATCCCAGCCGGTGTCGACGACACGAGAAATTCTATTGGAATTGCCTGGAGTCACTCGTCGGTGGATTTTCTCTGTTCGCACAGAATTCACTGAGATTCTTGCTAATTGAATTCCAGGATTTTTTTTCATTTTTCCCCAAAGTGAAGGTGTTTTTCTGTCCCATTGGGCTTTACTTGGGATATTAAATACGTTTGCTGGTGAAATTTTGGTAGAGCGTAGGACAATTTTGCCCGCCACAAGGACGGGTGGTTATGTTTCCCACTTTCATCGGAATCCTAGGTAATTATCACTCTTGATTCGTTTTAATTTCATTCATATTTTTAAACTGGATTCGTTGGGGAGATTTTTGGGGATTTTTCATTTGATTGGAGGTTATAAAATTTCTTCTTTCATTTGTATGTTGAATCCATTATTTTAATATTTTTGGTGGGGCTAATTGAACGTTTTTATTTGTTTAAAGAAGTAAAAAAGGGAATAGAACTCATATGTTGCTCATTTTTTAAATATCTCGCACAGTATTAAATTTAGAGAAAAATATCAAAGGAGCTTTTCTATAGAAAATTTTATTTTCTCCAAAAAAGTTCTCTGAACATTTTTCGAGAAATCTGAAGGTCCAGAGATATTTGCAGAAGAATTTTCTCTTCTTTTCAGCATCTCGAGAACTGATGGATCCAGAAGAAAAGTTCATAACTCCTTTCTCGTACACTGACAGAAAAACTAAATTTTATCAAGAGAATTTTATTTGAACCAACTATCATTTGGTTGTTAATTTTCAAATAAACATGATTTCATTGTGAATACCAGTCATCTCTTCTTGAGATACATTTGATTGGGAGAAATCGAATTTCTCTAGAATTGAAGTTCCCTTTGTTTGTCGCAATAATGAGAGTATTTGATTTCATTCTAGCCAAAAGTTGCTAACTTCAGAAATTCGTTGGTTTACTCAAAAATCAAAATTATTCTCATGAATAAATACGTTGTTATCTCAATCAACACGATCATACGTTGTTCCAAGTCAATTATAATTGAAGTGAGCATTTCGTATGTCGAATCGGATGAATATTGTTACGCGGAAAAAACTTCGAGATTGTAGTAAGATGTCGTTGAGTTGAAAGAAGTTTATATTTCTTGACTAAAAAAATGCATTAATTTATAATAACCGAATCACAGATTACGGCAATTCTACACAAACTTAGATATCACAAATTTCGGTCAATGTGGTGTACGGAAAGCTCAGTTTAAACAGCGGCTTCATTCGAGAAAACAACATTCAATTTATTCCTCGCCCGGTGACTTAGCGCAGTGGGTAAGTTCGTTGCCTCACACGCGAAAGGTTCCGAGTTCAAATCCCGGCCGGGGTAGAATGGTGCGATCTAACCATTTAATAAAGTCTTTGATCATCATCGCAGTATTATACCGTAACCGGGTCGAAGCGATGTAAAATGACGATAAAAAAAAATTTATTCCTCAATGTAATCATCTTGTAGGTACGAATTTTTGATCAATTCATGAAAGATGGAGATTATTTTAGATTTCAAAAAATAGAACTTTTCCATTTTTGTGGTGAATACATGGGACTTGACGCCAAGGACTGTTTTATTTGATTCACGTAAATGTATCCCAAGAAGAAATAATTGATATTCACCGTAAGATATTATTTATTTGAAATTGGTTCAAGTGTATAATACTTGTTTCAAGAAAAAAACATCTTAGTAAAAATAATTTTTTCTATCAGTGTAGTTGGAAAAATTTTCTATGGAAAAGACTTCTCTCGTCCCCACAATTCATATTTTGAGAATTCCTCGAGAACGAATGGATTTACCAAAAAATGTCAAAAAGCATTTTATGCAGTTCGCAAAGTCCCTTACAAAAATGTTCTTTTGACATTTTTCTCTAAAGCCATTTGTTCTCAACTCATTTGTCAAATAATCTTCTGTCATCACTGGACTGCAGAACTGAAATGGGAAAATCAATTTCTCTATTTTCGTTATTTATGATTTTAATCGTAATTTTTGATATTTTCATTGGGTTATGAACGACAGGATGAAACAAAAGAATAATCACTGTGACTATTGTGTAAATATTTCCAACAATTGTTAATTCTTCTAGACATACAATCGTGGTGGGAGGTGCCGAGTATAGCACACTTCTGCTCGTTATTTAGGGCTGCCTTCAACCTCCTGGACTTTGATATCGAGGTATCTAAATCCACAAAAAAATGCTTACATGCTCTCGTAGGCAAAATACGCTAGACAACGCAAAAAAAATTAATCAAACAACTAAAAATCCTGAACGATTGCAAGGACTCATTGGCTCCCTAGGCATAACCCGGCTTTGTGCTATTAATCAGCTGTTCTCTCTTCGAGTGAATCTTGAGAATTTCGATATTAATATTTCTGGAGTTTTTCCAGGATCTCGAGGAAGCTCTGCTGACAGACGGTGGCACTGAGGGGAGATTACTTCAGGAATTAATTGTTCGACTGTTGGAGGGCTGCTTGCCCAATGAATCTCGAAATGACATCTCTACGTTCAATTATCAGATGTTTCTTCGGAGATTATTTCGAAAAAAGTGTCAGGTAAATATTCAAATATTCGTTAATGGATTGAATTCAGTGTTTCTGGTATGGGGATCGGGGATCCCTTTTTTTAAAGACAACTCCTTAATTACTTCTTAAATTCTTAATTTATTCTTGAGGATACTTGACACTGGCAGAGAAATGACACATTTACTCGAAATTTTTCTATTCATTTCAACCATATTTTCATACATTAATTTCAAAGAAGTCATTGCAATTATATAGAATAAATGCGCTGATAGAAAAAATTATTTTTATTGAGATTATTCTTTCTCGGAACAAGTATTATACACTTCAACCAATTTCAAAGGAATAACATCGCGCGGTGAATATCAATTATTTCTTCGTGAGATATATTTACTTGAATTAAATAAAATAGTTCTTGGCGTCACATGTATTCACCACAAAAATGGAAAAGTTTTATTTTTCCTTCCGAATGGAGGCTTTGTAATCGTTCATTTTTACGATCTTCTAATTTTGCTTGGTAATGATGTAGAATGTCATGAAACGTCAAGGTATGTTTTTAGAAAATGTGTGTGTGTGTGTATGTCAGTGTGCGTGTGCGGATTTTTCGAAACTTTTTTATAACTCTTTACGAAAAAAAGGAGTAAAGTCGATGCTAAAAATCGGAAATTTTGTGAAATAAGTGGCATTGTTTGAGAGCATTGGCATTATCTGGGGGAAATTTCAGCCCAATCGTCAAATAGTTTTATCGTGGATACGTTTATGTTTTCAATATGGGGGGTCATTTTGGGAGACGGTTCTTATGTGTAGCGCCATATATCAGAATTCTAGAAAATTTGAGACATTTCAAGATAATTCGAGAAGTTTCTTGAAATTTCGACAAAATTCAAGGAGTTTCCAGAAATTTTGAGGAAATTCAGGGAGTTTCTAGGAAATTCGGGAAAGAAGGAAAGACCATGGACGTATCCACGTACAATTATAGCTGTATCGAAGATACAGCAGCCTGCAATTGGAAAGTTTCGGACTTATTTGAGATACAGCAATTTCTCGAAAATCTTTTTTGCTCAATATCACAAAAAGTACGCGACTGAATTGAATTTTCTGACGTCAAAATATTCCTTATGATAATATCTATCAAATCAAGTCATAATATTTCTACCTCACCAGGAATAACTTGGTAGTAATCGGCATTTTTCATTTTTGTCATAAAATCGGTGTAGGCACGAAAACGCTCGAAAAATTTTGAGGTAAAAAGCTGAAATTTGGTGCCATTCTAACTCTTATGGTACTATAGGCTGGTATTGTCGAGGGGTGAAATCGAACGAGTAGTTTAGGAGATATTCAACTTTTTGTGAAAATATGTTTCGCTCAATATCTCCTAAACTACTGGTCGGATTAAATTTTTTTTCAAAATACTCGTCTCGATGCCCACAATCGAGATCAATTAAAATCGTAATTATGGATACCCGTTCATACAGTTTTCGAGATATTCGTGTTTTTCTAATTTTTTCATCTCAGAGTTGATTTAACGTTCCACAATACACGTAGAAGGTGGAAATGGAATTCAAAATTTTGGGTAATAGTTAATATCATTGTGTCACACTAGTGTATAAAATTTTGGGCTGATCGATTCAATATATTTTGGCATAGAGCAATTTATCTGAAAATGGTTTTTGTCAAAAAATTTATTAAAAGGTTGAATACCTGTCTGTAGACACCCTGTAGCATGCGGTTACGGTTGTATGCCTGTCACAAGGGGAGGTAATTGCTACGGATCCATTCGGAAGCTTACTACCAATGGAATTGGTAGAAATAAAAAAAGGAAAGAACTAAGAACGCAAAAATAACGGTCACACGCCGTCTGTTGGATAGGCTCGAACCCCTGCTTGTTTTTTTAACTAATATAATCTCCAGTCGAAAAAATTTCTACTTTCATTAATTGATCAAAAATTCGTACCTTGGAGATGATTACATTGACCAAGAAATTAGCGGATCTTGCACTTTATGCTTATTGCAAAGGAGTAGTAAATCAAGATGTTCAGTTTTTTAAAAAAAGAATCATCACATTTTTTCCAAATTCCCACAGGTCACATTCGTACTGATCTTCACATTATATGCTATTTTTGTTTTAACTTCTTTACACGATTTTTTGACCGTACTTTCTCTTCAATAGATACGTAATCTATTTGGCTTATCAGTTATCTATTTGCACAAAATATTTGAGAACTTCCCAAAAAAGGAAGTTGTTGAATATTTTTTCGAATAAAGTCACCGACAAGCCAAAGCAATTACATATTTATTAATTTTTTTAACGCTTCGAAATTCCTTTTCTAACTGATGAATCATCAAAAATGGTGACGTCGTGGTGTATTCCCACAATCGCCACAACGGCCCATGTATAAGGCACAACTTTGATTATTATTACTATTGTTTCACCTTTTTCGAGTGCAATACCACAGTTCTGGGAAACACAGGTACTCAACTTTAAACGAAGTAATCCCTTGAAGTACGGTGAAATGCTGTCCAACTTTAGTGAACAATTATTGAAAAATTACTTCGAATAGGGACAAGTAGTACAATGAGCGATTGTGACTTTTTTTCAAATGTTAATGACTCATTGAATTTTCAATGAAGTTGAATAATTTTTACTTCAATGAAAAGTACCCTACACTGTGACTCGATTGATAAATTTATTCCTGAGTTATGAACATTGAAATAAAAGTCTAAAGTGTCCATTTTTTCCACTCTTCCTTATTTTCACCCAAAATTAGTGACGAAGTGATTGGATTGTACGATTTTTTCATTGGTGAAATTTTAGAACTGCGGGTTCTTAAAAATGAGGTACATTTTCTTGAAAAATTTAACTTTTCTTTGTCTTGGTTAATTATTACATTATATTAAAAACAAGCATACTGCAAGTATTAACCTGATTTTGTTACACTGATAGTAAAAATTATTTTTATTGAGATCTTTCTCTCTTGAAACAAGTATATTATATACTTGAATCAATTTTAAGTAAATAAGATCTTACGACGAATATCAATTATTTCTTCTTCAGATACATTCACTTGAATCAAATAGAACAGTCCTTGGCGTCAAGTCACATGTATTCACCACAAAAATGGAAAAGTTCTATTTTTTTTAACCTAATATAATCTCCAGTCGAGAAATTTTCTACTTTCATCAATTGATCAAAAATTCGTACCTAGGAGATGATTGCATTGAGGAATGAATTGAATGTTGTTTTCTCGAATGAAGTCGACGTTTAAATTGGGCTTTCCGTAGATCACAGTGAACGAAATTTGTGATATCCAAGTTTGTGTAAAATTGCCGTAATCTGCGATTCTGTTATTGTCAACTACTGCAATTTTTTTCAATTAAGAAATATAGACTTCTTTCAACTCAACGACATCTCACTGCAATCTCAAAGCTTTTTCCGCGTAACAATATTCATCCTGATTCGACATACGAAATGCTCACTTCAATTATAATTTCCTTGGAACAACATATGATCACGTTGATTGAGATAACGTATTTAGTCATCATGTTGACCCTCATGACCTTTATTCTGATCCTCACGACCCTTATTTTGACCCTTTTGGTCTTGATTTTTTAAGTCTTAATTTCGAGTACCAAATTTTCATCACCAGAAGTCAATTTAGATTTGAACAATGTAGAGATAACATAACATAAGAAAAACATACACGAAAATATATATTATAATTCTTAGCCTCCCTCATTAGGTTATTTTTCCATAATGAAATTTCAGGGAATATATTTTCAAGCAACTTTTTTTGTAACTTTAATATCATTCAACAACTGATCTTGGAAACACTGTTATCAAAGGGAAATTACTTTCGAGTTGAATTGTTCTGAGATCCCAATTAAAAAACACTTCTATATTTTTCACTAGGGAATTTTGAATTGTAAATTCAATTTGATTTGTTCCGAATGAGAAATATAGATACGATTGAGTGAGATATATCACGGAATTGTCAAATCTTCCAAACTGAAAATTATTTGAACCAATAACAGTTCAATTATCCATTGCATTAGTTCCTGGAAAAAAACTGGAGATCAGGAGAGTTTGTGAAATTTATCTGAGAATTTTTTTGGGAACCGTAACTTTGTGCGAAAAAAATGTCTTCGACAGTCCATCTATCTCTCTTTGAATCAGAGATATGAATTGAAAACTAATTTGTCCCGATGTTCACTTCATTTTACCCTCTCATAATTAATTTATCTTTTGAAATATAAATTCTCAGTAAGACATTCATTACCTCATAATTCAAGCCAATGACCCCAATCAATAACTCATAACTTATTTATTCCTAATAATACAGCAGTGAACGGGAGAAATACTTTACGATAAGATCGATTGCCGGGTGGTATCTCGAAATTTGGGAGAGATAAGGAATTCTTCATTTAGATCTTTCTCGAAACTCTCGATTCGCACCTCAACAAAAATCTCTGTAGGAATTCCACTATCTCCTTTGGATTTTCAAGATTATCGAAAACTCGTTTTTACGTGAAGTTAAATTTATCCAATAGATTTGTTCTGCTCCATGTTGTCGATAAATATTACAGAAGATCGAGGGATGACTTGGATAGATGTCCTTTGATCTCTTTGGAAACGACGTCGGGAAGAATGGCGCAAAACTTGACTTTTTCTAAGGGCTAATAAATCATTGAATTCTTTTGATGAACTACCATAATTTTTTCCATGGAGACCGGCTCTTCCCTTTTTAAGTTGAATCCGAACTGCAATAGATCGAAGAATTCATTTTTTAGTTATGAGCATTTTAATAGGAGTTAAAAATATCAATTGTTCCCAATAGGAGAATATAATCAGGAGGTTCCAACAATAAATAATGAAATTCTGTAACTCCTCACTCTTCATATTAGTAGCGAAGTGGTAAAACGGAACAAGTCAATTTTGACTATTGACCAGTTTTCAATGAATATCTCGGAATCTAAGGGAGATGGCAAAATTTTTGTTATAACATTTTTTGTGGAGCCGATCGAGTACTACAACAAATGGAATTATGAAATTTTCGCTATCTTCCTCAGATTCGGAAATATTCCTCAAAAACTCAACTGGGAGATACGTCGACTTAAACCCTTTTACCACTTCGCTACTGATATCATCGCTTTACACTGTATCATCTCATCATGCACTCAATCTTGTAAAAATTATCTTTAAATTTTCGATCCTCATCCAGCAAAATGAACACACAAACTGACTTTTGCTTCCGAATGGAAGCCTTATAATCGTTTAAATTTAAGGGTGCCAAGTGAATTTGGCGATGACCTTGAAAATTGACATTCACCAACAAAGTTATAATTTTTTTAATTAATAGTATTAGACAGATGGTGAACATCGGTGACAATTTTAAAATTTTAGAACTTATGGATATCGAGAAATTAAATAAACAAAATCAGTCTTATACACGGCCTCTTATGGAGTTTTGATTAAATTGAACGTTTCAACCCCCTAGGAACTCAAGAAAAATTTGAAAAAATTTGAAGATATGGGGAATGATGTGTTCAATGTGATGGCGACAAAAAACAATGGGGTACCGGGGTGAATAAGAGAGATATTTCAACTCGCCGTACCCATTTGATCCCATGCTTTCTCGAGGTTCGTCACGCGAAATAGAGGATTTTCCGCATTTATTTTCTCGATGTCTAGTTCCGGTTGCGGGTGTGAAATTTCATCGGATGGATGAATACATATTTCTCCAATGATGGAGGGAAAGAAAAAATTTTTTTTGAATCTTTTTTCAAATTCACTTGGCACCCTTAAGTTTCGGTTTTTTGTGTTATATCGACTCATTGTGATCCAAAAAGTCCGAAAATGCAATTCTTGGACCGTGTCCGTATGTGTGTATGTTGGCGTCAAGGTTTTTCTTAAATTATTCGCCAATGAATTGATGGAATTGAATGACTTTTTTTCCAAATGTAGGTATCGTTGAGCCCTCCATCGACATAAATTAAAATTTGATTCATTCATTAATTTTTTGATTTTTCATTTTTTCAAAAAATTGGTTGTCCTACGATACCTTAAAAAAAAGGTTTTAAAATCATTGAATAATGGCTCAAAATGATTGTTTGGATATCCTTTCGACTGAGTTCGAAGATGGAGGTAACAGCACTAATCGTTATTTTCATGATATCAAAATTTGGAAACATTTTTCATTTATTGAAAATTAGAATTCCGGGCATATCTTTGGATATCATGCTTCAAATTGATTCAATCATAGCTTAAAATTTAAATTTAAAAACCACTTTGTCGAAGTTGAAATATTATTACGATAGCTATATTCGTAGGTTTGATTTTTATAATGATTTTTACATTTTGGTGAATTTTTCATGAATTTCCCAGGAAGCTTCCAAATGGTTTCTTCAAATATGGTGCTTCAAAATCATTCAATTGTGTATGAAAAAATTGTTTCCAATGCTATTTCGTCGAAGTTTGAAGATGTACAAAATGATGTACAAGATGACCATTCGTAAGCATATTGTTAATTTATTCGCAAAAATAACTACACTATATGAAGATAATAGCAATTACCCACTTGTTTCTTTTTGTATCAATTATTAGATACATAAATTGTAAATACTTGGCTGAAAGCCCCCGGGCGATGGCCAGTCGCAAGTTCCTTGGAACTTACAACAAATCCCGTTAAAAATAAAAAATAATAGGCAGAAGGAAATAAGTATTGAAAACAGCAAAGAGGGATGAGAAACAATGGTAGTTTTTTATCGTATGTGGGGGGGAGGGGGCTGATTAAAATCTGTTAAAATCTCATTCTTTATTTTCTGATTCTCGTATTTTTCCGTATTCTAACATTTTTTCTAGGACACGACGGGCCTTTCCCACAATTTATTTAGAATATAAATCAGGAAGAAATTCAAAATATCGGAGGAATTGTTTGCGATGTTACTCGATTAGTTAATTGATTGATTTAAGAGATTTAATCTCGGTTGGAATAAGAAAATTTCTTCATCATGACTCCAAGTTCAATCAATGATTATTTTGATTACAGAGTCAATATGAAACAATAGTGGAGACAATTGAACTTTTTAATTTGTTTAGAGAAGTGAACTTTTATGATTCACAAAACAAATCTTCTTCTTTATTAACTGTGTAGGAGTTTGATTTGAAAAAACTAATTTGTAATTGTTATTGCCCACTTTTTTTCAGAAATTTTGAAAACAAATCTCTGTAGCTCAAAAATTGGAGGCCCCGGACTATTTTTTAACTTTTTAAGCGTTTGTGGGGTAAACGAACAATGAACCATTTCTTACACCAATTATTCGTTTTTACACATATATAATCGATTCCGGTAGAATGATGAGATCTAACCATGATTAAGTCTTGATCATCATCGCAATATTCTCAAGCGAGTTGAAGCGATGTAAAATAACAATGAAAAAAAATATATATATGAGGTATCCCACGCCAAATGAGTCAACCGCTGACCCTTACCCTCTTGGAAATTAATAGCGATTCTTTCCACCATTGGGGGGGTTGAAAAACTATCTCTCAATTTTTTTTGAGATTTTTTAACGCAGCCCAGTTCGGAGATATGATTTTTTAAATATTTTTCCGTTTTTTTCCCAATAACTCGAGTTCTATTTGTCCGATTTTGATTTATTAAGCGTCAAAATTTTCCATTTTTTACCGCCTGTACGAGTATTTCTAGTATTTTTTTTTTTCAATTCCTAGATGCTCATAATGACGAATTTTCGAAAAAAAGTTGAAAAAGTGGAATTTTTTAATTTACGTCATTTTTAATTGTTTCATTTTTTTTCAGTAATTCTTATAATCAAAACAAGTATTTTGAGCCGTCATTGAAGTGGGGTATCCTCCTGGATATTTTATTTTTAATTTTCTCTTTTCGAAATTTCGCAAATTTGGTCAAAACACCCCAAAACGACTTCGATTTTTTTTTGTTTTCGTTATTTTACATCGCTTCGGCCCGGTTAGGGTATACTGCGATGATGATCAAGACTTTAGTTAGATCGCACCATTCTACTCGGCCGGAACTCGGAACCTTTCGCATGTGAGACAACGAACTTATCCACTGCGCCAAACCACCGGGGGAACGACTTCGATTATGTATCGAAAAAATATATAATATATAGGTATACAGTCAAATTCACTTTATACTGTTTATAATCAAAATCAATCATTGCCATTTTGGTGTGTTTTGACCAAATTTGCGGAATTTCGAAAAGAAAAAATTGAAAATAAAATAGATCCTGGAGGATCCTTAACTTGTATGACGGTTGAAAATACTTGTTTTGATTATAAGAATTACTGACAAAAAATGAAACAAATCAAAAGTGACATAATTTGCAAAATTGAACTTTTTCAACTTTTTTGCCTCGAAAATTCGTTATTATGAGCACCTAAAGATCGAAAAAGAATTTTTACTAAACATATGCTTATAGGCAGTAAAAAATGAAAAATTTTGACGCTTAATAAATCAAAATCGGATGGATGGAACTTGAGTTATTGAAAAAAAATGGAAAAACGAGAAAAAAATAATATCTCCAAACTGGGCTGCCGAAAAAATCTGAAAAAATTTGACAGTTTTTCAACCCCCCCAATCGTAAAAAAAATCGCCATCAATTTCCAAGAGGGTGAGGGTCAACGGTTGACTCATTTGGCGTGGGATACCTCACATATGTATAATCGATCTTCAATGTACGAGAAATCACACTCGAATATCCCGCGCCTTTCAAGACTCACAGTAGTGTCCCCCTAAACTTCTTAAAATGCCTAATTAGAGGAGATTCCCCTCATCTCACGCAAAAAAAAAACAAAATAAACCCCCTATGCCATTAAACCCCAAACAACCGAGCAATAATCCCCCTAACCCTCTCAATTCTTCAAATTCCAGGATTACAAATACGAAAATCCCTTCAACACAGATGTAGACTTCGAGCTCCTTCCACTCCGTCAAAAAGTCGAGATCCTCCGTAGTCTCTGCGACTTCCGGCTGGACGCTGAGGACGTTGAGCTAGCCCTAAGCAACCTAGACTCAGACAGTCTCCGCGTTGAACCATTGGGTCATGACCGTAGCAATTCTGCTTACTGGTATTTCTACGGTACCCGTCTCTACAGAGAGGACTACATCAGTCCCAACAAGGCTCTCTCCCCCCGCCAGAACCGTCGAGCGCGTGACAAGAGGCGTAAAAAACGACGTGTCAGAGGTGAAAAGGTGGTGGAGAAAGAGGAGGAGGAGGAGAATGAGGTTGATCATTTAATCTCTGACAGCCTACACGACAGTCGTACAACAGTTTGGCAGGTAGTCTGCTTCACCCAACAAGACTGGTCGCGTCTTGTCGACAAATTCAAGGACTCTGAGTACGACACAGAGCGCAAATTGTACCACACACTCTCCGAGGATTTTCTCCCAGAGATTCCAAAGCTCTTCGAGCTGAAGGAGAAGCAGCAGCGTCGTCGTCTGCTGGAGCGAAACACAAGGGTCCAGCGAGGACAAGAGCCAGCTGAGCCCACCGAGGAGGCCATAATGGTCCGAGCAAAGATGAAAACAAAGGCGAAAGCCACGAGGAGAACCCAAGCGACGAAAAATGGAGACAGCGAGGACGAGGCACCACCTCCAGCTCCTCCGCAGAAGAAGGGAAGACAGACCAACAATTCGCTGGCCTCAGCTGACGGCCAAATCGTCATCCACACCAGAGATGAGCTCGATGGTGCACCGAAGAAGGGCGTGCCCAAGCACACCAGCACTTACGTCTCCTCCTACCCGTACACCTTTGGGATCGAGGAGGAAGAACGTCGTGTTGGGATGCACAAAGTCCTGGAGAGCCTCAAGGACCACGTGGACGCCTGGCCATTCGTGGATCCTGTCGACGAGGAGTATGCCCCTCGATACTACTCTGTCGTCAGAAAGCCCATGGACCTGTCCACGATGGAGGAGAAACTCGAAGGCGGCTCCTACAAAAATCTCAGTCAATTCAAACGCGATTTTCGTCTGATCGTGGACAACTGCAGACAGTACAATGGCTCTGACAACGAGTACACTGAGATGGCGGTTAATCTGAAAGAGGCATTCGACAGAGCTGTCGATCGTTACCTCGAGTCTGAGCCCTCTAGTGACGAGTGCCCGTCAGTTCCTGCATCACCAAATGCTGTTCCATCATCACCTTATCCAGCTCGTGCTTCCTCATCACCTTCGTTATTAAGTAGTACACGTAAGCGTAATAAAAAATCAAAGCAAAAGTCTAAATCAAATAAGAGTGAGAAGAAGTCTAAGGGTAGAGGGAGGGACGAGGAGGAGGAGGATGAGCACGAGGAGGAGGGGGAGGAGGAGGAGGAGAGTCCTAGGGATAAGAGGGGCAAGAAGAGATCAAAACGTGCTAGGGAGGAGGAGGAACGCAATGAGGATAATGACGAGGATGATGAGAATGGTGCAATATCAGAAAGTTCTGTGATAAAATCAAAACGAAAAAAGTACAGTGAAGTTGAGAGATTGTTACCCAAGAGTAAAAAATTATCGGCCAAAGAGGAGAAATCCGAGGAGAGTAATAAACGTGGGAAGAATCGACAGAAGGAGCAAGTTACTAAGAACACTAAAGAACACAGGGAGAGTAGGAGGAAGAAGGAGGACTTCGAGGAGGATCATGAGCCACTTATTAATATTAAGAGTAAGAGTAAGCGAATTGAGAAAAGAGGAATTGAGGATAATGCAGGTTTAACTGATAGGATTAGAAAGAAACAGAAGAAGCCGGAGAAGATTGTGGAGGAGTCTGATGACGAGAGACTGTCGGAGATCGAGGAGAATGGCAAGCAGACGCCGGAGAAGAAGAAAAATCGCAGTAAGAGGGATAAGACTGGCCAGAAGCCACCGAAAATCGAAGTCAAACATGAGCGTAAAGCCTCGAAGGAGAAGGACAAAAAATCAAAAGTCAAGAAGATGGAGGAGCGACCGAAAAACGGTGAAGTAAAGAAACTGGAGAAGGAGAAAGACACCAAAAAGGAGGACACAGCGTCTAAAAAATTTGACTCGTTAGTCAGTAATAAAGACCTCGAGTCCCTGGACTCTTTGAAGGATCGAATAAGTGAACGCAGACGTGAGGATAAGCTCAAACAAGAAAGGGAGAGAGCCAAGAGATCCGCTAAAATTGATACTGAGAAGAAAAAAGTGCCTTCAAACGGTAATACCTATCACGAGAGTGGTAAGGTGAACCTCAAACGAGCTAAGCTTAAAAAACCTGTTAAAGATGATAAAGTTTTACCGATGAAAGATGAAACTGTTGAAATCAAAAAACCAAAATTGACACATGGCAAGCATGGCAAGAATAGGGAAGAGAGTCCGGCGATACAAGCACTGAATCAGGCGACTGAGCAGACACTGAATGACATTAATAAGTGGTTGGACGATGCGCCAAAATTATCAGAGTTCTCATCAGGTAGTGATTCACCAGTGACTAAGCAGCCATCGACTAGTGAGACATCATCACGCGGTGGGAAGCCAGAGCCACTGGTTCGTAAGCGTCCAACTAGTGTGAAATTTTTGGGTCCAAATGGTCCACCGAGACCGAAAAAAGTGCAGAGAACGATTGATAGACTCCAGCCTGGTAAGGCGAAGGGTAATTTGTTGCTGAAGAAGCCATTGCCCAGTGGAAGTAACTCAGCTGACACTTCCACGAGTCAATCGACCTCAGACGTTGATCACCCGAGCAAGGACAGCACAGACGAACCAAAACTCAGCCTCGGTACTGTCCTCAAAAATTCAGACTCGATTCAACTCATGTGCAAGAGTTTAGTATCCTCACCAAATCCGAATTTATCGAACGAGGACGATGAGGACGATCGTCCAGCTGTGACAACTTCCAAAAAGAACGACGACGACAAATCCAAGGAGATGAAGGATGTCGCACCAAAGGCTGATCCTGAACAAATGAAGAGTACACAAGAGGAGTCCCAGAAACCAAAGTCAGCGACACCCAATCTGAGTGCCTGGTTCAAGGCATTCGGTGCACCAAAGTCCAAGAAGAAGGAGGAAGAGATCGAGGAGCCGGTTAAAAAAGAGGAGTTCCAGGAGATACCACAGCGTCAAAGAAGACTGAGTGCTGGAGGAAGCAGTGTCAGTGAGTCCGTCTCAAGTTTCTCCCAAGAGTCTCCCCCGGGCTTGACAATCAGGTCCCCCCAGAGTCAACCAGCCCTGACACCGACAGCAATCGAACAGCCAATTCGAGCTGGCTTCTATCAGGACGCATTATCCACTGGGAGTAGTCCCAACAACAGTCCCTACTACGCCACCCCCCCGAGATACAGTGCCCAGCTCCCCCCTACCCCATCCCCCCAGAACTACTCCCACCCTCTGTCCCCAGCCTACCCCTCCTCAGCAGCGTACGATCAAAACCCCTTGTACCCTCAGCTTCCCCAGGCCTCCCACCAAGTCTACCAGAAACCAGTGACCCCCGAAAACCCCCCAGAAGCCTACCCGACGTACCCCCAGAACTCCCCCCAACCCGATAACTACATAAACTCCCCGCAGCAGCTTCCAACAAACCAAAAACAGTCCCCCGTGTACCCTCAACCCTCCCCTCAAGCCCTCCCAGTCTACCCCCAGAATTCCCCCCAACCCCCTCCCTCAAACTACTCCCAGCCCTCCCCCCAGCAACCAACAACTCCCAACTACTCTCAACCATCTCCCCAACAGCCCACTGCCAACTACTCCCAACCCTCCCCCCAGAACCCCACGTACTCCCAACCCTCCCCCC